TGTACTGATGCACTTTTCGATGCTCGAAGAAGGTGTTCATAATAGACAATCCGTTGTTTGGACAAAACCGAAACAGCTTCATGCCGTTATTGTTGAGGTCGTTAGGGCGGTTTTCCCCAATCACGCCGCTCCACTTTTCAGCGTCTACTCCGACGTGCGCATTAAAATCGCTCAGCGGTATGAAGGACTCTGTATTCGGCAGGTCGGACAGAGCACGCTGCACTTCTTCAAGGTAGGTATCATATTCTCCCTCCAAAAGACCTGTACCAAGGTCAACGCTTTAGCCTGCTGTAGTTTCAGTCAGAGAATTGTCACTCTTCCGCTAACAGGATTCCAACCAATGCTTCTGTCTGCGAGGTTTGGTTCTACCAGAACACCAACACCGACCTGAGCGCGGATCTTTATATCCACGTCTGAGTAGAATAGCTTCCATCCACTGAGGTTCAGGATTCCAGAGCCTGGCGCTTAGTTGACGAGAGTCCAACAATGTCGAGTTACTACTTTATGGTCTCATCAACTAACTCTTGTTCTTTCCCTCTGAATGAGGATATGTTGTAATTTCCGTTTTTAAGCTCTCAGTGGCGGTGTCGTTCTCACGGAGCCTTTTCTGACATGCTATAACGACATCATGCTGTCTGCCTCCTCCGCTTAGGACGAGTAAGGACTCCGTTGCTGACTGGTATCTTCGTCGTAGTTCCGTCGGTTTTTGTCAGCCGTTGTGCTGCGACGCCCCCGGCTGGCAGAGGGCGATGAACAGGTTCTGATCGCCGACTTTTCGCAGTCTGTCTCCGTCTTCGATCAGCCTGCGTGGCCCTTGGTAATGCGGGCGACGACTGCTCCGGTATAATCTCTAACGACGTCAATAGGATGAGTGGCAGGTGGCGAACTTCGAACGGAATCTTCGCCACGCTCTCCAACCCTCCTCCATTCTCAACCGGTCTTGGGACCGGCAACCATAAATTAACGAGCAGGTTATCTGTGCTCAGATTTCGGTTTAACATGTTCTTTTCAGCAATGCGACACCTAGAAAATTATGAGCAAGTGGATACGCCATGCCTCGTGAAATCAAGTGGTGGATGAGTTAGGTGCTTGCTATCGTACTCTGACTTAAAATCCATTTTTGATATTTGTGAAGTAGCATGCACAGAATACCAGCTCCTGAAACACCGTTCGTAATGAATAAGATATTTCTTCAACAGAAAAGTGATTCGAGGTGCATCATGCATTGCAGGTGCTCAAATACCTTGGATCCATAGAGTCATGGCCTGTTTGAATGACCCCT